AGGTGCTTTAGACCGCTGAGCCATCTCTCCAGCCCCACTTTATTTTTTTAAATAAATACCAAATAGTTAAATGTATGCTATGAATTCCTTTTCTAAAGCTAGTATTTCTAAGAAGTTAGTAAGATTTGAAAAAAACTGATACAAAGACAAAGATGAATATTCTAATTTATTATTTAAAAGTATTTTAAACATCCATAGGAAAACGTACTTACGATTATTTGAAACCAGAACCAAAATAACATAGACAGACATTCTTTTCAAGTTTGTGCTTGAATCATCATTAGATAAGAACAAAGTTAATTCTTCAAATAACTCTGAAGTACACATACTTTGCTGACAGTAAACTGAAATATAAAATACAATTTTAATTTCAAGGCATTAACACAAACCAGTTTTAAAATATGCTGAATAAAATGCAAAGTTGCCAAAGTAAGGACAGTTCTTTCTCAACCTGATCTCAGTTGAAATATACCATAAATACAACAAAATTTCTGATAAACTGATAGGTGTCTAAGTAGCAGACCAAAGCAGTGAGTGGTATTTGAAGCAAAAGTACTTGGTCTCCAAAACATGAATTAAAATTGCCTAGAATTTCCAAATAAAAAATAAAATCAGACAAAAAATTTCAAAAGGATCAACAATAAAATACAGCAAGAAAAATAAAACTCAGAAACTTGTCTTGGAAAACACAAGAACAAACAATATTTGTGCTATTTTTGACACTTTCTTTTTTGCAATAAAATGTGTTTCAGCCAGGTAGGGTGGCACATTCCTGTAATACTAGCTACTTGGCAGGCTAAGGCAGGAAGACTGCAAGATTCAGGCCTTCCTGGGCATCACAGTGAGACCCTGAAGCAAACAAGCCAAAAAGAGAGAGAGAAGCAAAGTTTTTTCAAAAAAAAAAAGATATTTACACAGCAGTGAGTTTGTATGTGTGATATTCACACTATAAGCAGAGTTTTATAATAATCTGAGGTATAGCTCAGTGGAAGAGTACATTTTTACATGTGTGAGGCCCTAGCTTCAATTCTCAGCACTAAGAATAAAAACAATAATCTGAATAGTCATACAATCAGCACTTTCCCCAGTGCCTAGACTCAGCTATTAGACCATAACTCAAAGGCAAGGTATAGATTATTTCTCTTTGTTCCCTCAATTCCTAGTGAGAACTTTTTTTTTTTTTTTTGGACTTGATTCTTAAAAGCTGATGAAGACATATTTAATTAAAGAAAATATAAAGTTAGTTTGACAAACTGATGGTTTAAATTCAACCTCATTTCAGGTATATTGTAGAAAAATCTTGTTAACAATAATTTCTGTACCCAAGCTATGTAAATTGGTTGTGGATTATCTTCATCTTTTGATTTAAGTATATGGATAAAGTATCAAATATATAAAAAAGCGTGGCCGGGGAGATGGGTCAGTGGAATAAGCGCTTCCCTGGCAAGCACAAGGGCCTGAGTTCAATCCCTGGTTCTGGA